AAATGCACCGTATGCATGTGTGTGTGAGAGAGAGACGCGCATTGCCCCTTGAAGTATGCTGACCTTACTCTAAGTACACTGCCTTTTTAAGTATATCAGCAAGTTGAGACAGCAGCTGCTGCCAGCAAGCTCCCTCCATCCTGAGCCCTGTCATGTATCCCCCCCCCGCACTCTGTGGAGATTTGGTACAGGAGTGGGGGGAGGGGGACACCCTGACATCAGCACCCCTCTTTCCCCACCCCCCTGCACAGCAAGTAGGAGGCTCCTGGGAGCAGCTCTAAGGCAGAGGGCAGGAGCAGCACACGGCAGTAGGGAGAGGGACACCTGAAATGCCCGGCCCTTGATAGCCTGCTGCGCGGCTGCCGCACATGGAATTTAGGGGAGCTGATGGGGGGCTGCCAGCCCACTCTGGTTCCAAGCCACCACCAGCTAGCTCCAATGGGTTGCTCTTCCTGCAACAGTGGACAAAGCAGGCGGCTGCCAAACAACATTATAAGGGAGCATTGCACAACTTTGAATGAGCATGTTCTCAAATAGATCAGCGACGTAACAACGAAACAATGTTAACCTGGGCGACATTAAGTGAGGAGTTACTGTACTTGGGGGTGGGTCTTTTACTCATGGTTTATGTTTATGAACCCTGTTTGCAGTGTTTTCCCAAATTAACGCCGAGTTACTTCCCTCCTTTTATGAAAGGTTTCTTTTCTACAGTCAGACTCTGTGCTTACGAATGGGGAAGTATTGCCTCTCAGAGGTGCCCAGGGGTGGTGTGTAAATGTCCCAGGTTACTGGGTGGGGGCTCGAGCTGGTTCTGTGTTGTACCAATGGAAAGGAACCCCTAGATATTGAACCCTGTCCTGGTTGCTACTGGCAGCACCTGGCAGAAGGGCTACATATGGTTATATAGTACAATATATGTACATTTCATTGTCTGACAAGTAAAATGGGTTGCAAATTAATAGCTTTCCTGACAAAGAGAATTTTGAGTCAAAAGACGTGTTGACAGACTACAGAATCACACAAACATTTGTCAAAAAACAACAAAGAAAGGAAGATATGTGTCCAACTCAAATGCTTCCCAAAGTAAGTGACCTGCTTCCCAATCCCAGTTGTGTAAAAGTCATGAGTGGTTTAAAATCATGAGATATTCCAAATACACATTTTGATTCCTTCCCGTTTGCCATCTGGTTTTGAACCTTCACTGTACATTTTGAACACATTTTCAAGCTTTTCTCGAGAACCAGGAAGGCTAAAAATTTACCTTGAAAAAGAAAAAAGAAAGAAAAAGAAAGCACGCTGAGAGTTTCATACAGTAACTCAAGAAGCTGAGCCTTTAAGAACGCAGTGTGAGATTCTTGATAAAATTGAATTGGCCGCACTGCAGGTGGGTCTCCACTAGTTTTTTGGACATGCGCAAGTAAAGGAGTCTGGCGGAAGGGGAAGAATGACATTGTTGGCATCACTGAAACTTGGTGGGATAATACACATGATTGGAATGTTGGTGTGGATGGATATAGCTTGCTCAGGAAGGATAGACAGGGGAAAAAGGGAGGAGGTGTTGCCTTATATATTAAAAATGTACACACTTGGACTGAGGTAGAGATGGACATAGGAGATGGAAGTGTTGAGAGTCTCTGGGTTAGGCTAAAAGGGGTAAAAAACAAGGGTGATGTCATGCTAGGAGTCTACTACAGGCCACCTAACCAGGTGGAAGAGGTGGATGAGGCTTTTTTTAAACAACTAACAAAATCATCCAAAGCTCAAGATTTGGTGGTGATGGGGGACTTCAACTATACGGATATATGTTGGGAAAATAACACAGCGGGGCACAGACTATCCAACAAATTCTTGGACTGCATTGCAGACAACTTTTTATTTCAGAAGGTTGAAAAAGCTACTAGGGGTGAAGCTGTTCTAGACTTGATTTTAACAAATAGGGAGGAACTCGTTGAGAATTTGAAAGTAGAAGGCAGCTTGGGTGAAAGTGATCATGAAATCATAGAGTTTGCAATTCTAAGGAAGGGTAGAAGGGAGAACAGCAAAATAGAGACAATGGATTTCAGGAAGGCGGATTTTGGTAAGCTCAGAGAGCTGATAGGTAAGGTCCCATGGGAATCAAGACTGAGGGGAAAAACAACTGAGGAGAGTTGGCAGTTTTTCAAAGGGACACTATTAAGGGCCCAAAAGCAAGCTATTCCGCTGGTTAGGAAAGATAGAAAATGTGGCAAAAGACCACCTTGGCTTAACCACGAGATCTTGCATGATCTAAAAAATAAAAAGGAGTCATATAAAAAATGGAAACTAGGACAGATTACAAAGGATGAATATAGGCAAACAACACAGGAATGCAGGGGCAAGATTAGAAAGGCAAAGGCACAAAATGAGCTCAAACTAGCTAAGGGAATAAAGGGGAACAAGAAGACTTTTTATCAATACATTAGAAGCAAGAGGAAGACCAAAGACAGGGTAGGCCCACTGCTTAGTGAAGAGGGAGAAACAGTAACAGGAAACTTGGAAATGGCAGAGACGCTTAATGACTTCTTTGTTTCGGTCTTCACCGAGAAGTCTGAAGGAATGCCTAACCTAGTGAATGCTAATGGGAAGGGGGTAGGTTTAGCAGATAAAATAAAAAAAGAACAAGTTAAAAATCACTTAGAAAAGTTAGATGCCTGCAAGTCACCAGGGCCTGATGAAATGCATCCTAGAATACTCAAGGAGCTAATAGAGGAGGTATCTGAGCCTCTAGCTATTATCTTTGGAAAATCATGGGAGACGGGAGAGATTCCAGAAGACTGGAAAAGGGCAAATATAGTGCCCATCTATAAAAAGGGAAATAAAAACAACCCAGGAAACTACAGACCAGTTAGTTTAACTTCTGTGCCAGGGAAGATAATGGAGCAAGTAATTAAGGAAATCATCTGCAAACACTTGGAAGGTGGTAAGGTGATAGGGAACAGCCAGTATGGATTTGTAAAGAACAAATCATGTCAAACCAATCTGATAGCTTTCTTCAATAGGATAACGAGTCTTGTGGATAAGGGAGAAGCTGTGGATGTGGTATACCTAGACTTTAGTAAGGCATTTGATACGGTCTCGCATGATATTCTTATCGACAAACTAGGCAAATACAATTTAGATGGGGCTACTATAAGGTGGGTGCATAACTGGCTGGATAACCGTACTCAGAGAGTTGTTATTAATGGTTCCCAATCCTGCTGGAAAGGCATAACGAGTGGGGTTCCGCAGGGGTCTGTTTTGGGACCGGCTCTGTTCAATATCTTCATTAACGACTTAGATATTGGTATAGAAAGTACGATTATTAAGTTTGCGGATGATACCAAACTGGGAGGGATTGCAACTGCTTTGGAGGACAGGGTCATAATTCAAAATGATCTGGACAAATTGGAGAAATGGTCTGAGTTAAACAGGATGAAGTTTAACAAAGACAAATGCAAAGTGCTCCACTTAGGAAGAAAAAATCAGTTTCACACATACAGAATGGGAAGAGACTGTCTAGGAAGGAGTACGGCAGAAAGGGATCTAGGGGTTATAGTGGACCACAAGCTAAATATGAGTCAACAGTGTGATGCTGTTGCAAAAAAAGCAAACGTGATTCTGGGATGTATTAACAGGTGTGTTGTGAGCAAGACACGAGAAGTCATTCTTCCGCTCTACTCTGCTCTGGTTAGGCCTCAGCTGGAGTATTGTGTCCAGTTCTGGGCACCGCATTTCAAGAAAGATGTGGAGAAATTGGAAAGGGTCCAGAGAAGAGCAACAAGAATGATTAAAGGTCTTGAGAACATGACCTATGAAGGAAGGCTGAAAGAATTGGGTTTGTTTAGTTTGGAAAAGAGAAGACTGAGAGGGGACATGATAGCAGTTTTCAGGTATCTAAAAGGGTGTCATAAGGAGGAGGGAGAAAACTTGTTCACCTTAGCCTCTGAGGATAGAACAAGAAGCAATGGGCTTAAACTGCAGCAAGGAAGGTCTAGGTTGGACATTAGGAAAAAGTTCCTAACTGTCAGGGTGGTTAAACACTGGAATAAATTGCCTAGGGAGGTTGTGGAATCTCCATCTCTGGAGATATTTAAGAGTAGGTTAGATAAATGTCTATCAGGGATGGTCTAGACAGTATTTGGTCCTGCCATGCGGGCAGGGGACTGGACTCGATGACCTCTCGAGGTCCCTTCCAGTCCTAGAATCTATGAATCTATGAATCTATGAATAATCAAAAATGGATCAGAACCAAAGAAAAGAGTAATGAGAGAAAAAGGCCAAAGTTTTGGGCCTGTTAAGGGCAGTGGTACTGGAACAATTTTCATAGTGGGGGCGCTAAAGGCGGAAACCATGTATTTGGGTTGTTATAACTACTTCAAGCCAGGGGGTGCTCCTGCACCCCGAGGTCAGGCATCCCTGATTCAGAGTGTGGCAAAGGAGGGAGGCAACAAGGGCGAGGACAACTAGCGGCTTGAGCGCGATGCAGAAGACTGAATGGCCATGAGCCGGTCACCGGCCCGTCTCACCGCTATTTGAGGGGCGTGGGAGGGAAAACTGCGCCAACCTTCCCAGCCGGCAGCCAAGGGACCTTATGCAACTCGGCGATTTTAACATGCACCGATCACGAAGCTGCTCCTCGGCGCTCCCGTACCAGAGAAGCGCGGCAGAGGCAGGCGAGGCGAAGGAGCTGGCGCCGCGGTGCCCAGCGGCTCTTTCAGCAGGTGCCCCCCCCTCGCCGCTCCGCCTGGGATGACTGACAGGCCGGGACGTTCCTCGAGGGGCGAGGTTGAGCCACCAGCGTGCGGAGCGCAGGCGCAGTCCGGACTCTCCCCGCCTGCGGAGACGCCGCTGTGAATTGGCCCCTAGGCGGGGCCGCCGGCTGGAGCCAGGGAAGCGCGGCCCGAGGATCTCCCGGAGGGGCGGGCGCTCGCGTGACTGGGGAGAGGCCCCGCCTCGCTCCCTGCTCTCTGGGGGCGGAGCCGCCTCCCCGCCCCGTTACTCACCCGCCGCCCCCGGCAGCAGCAGGGCCGCGGCCGCCAGCCAGAGGAAGGCCCAGGGCCGCGGCGGGGCCGTTAGCGCCATGGCGCCGCCCGCTCGCGCCGAGGTTCAGTCTCGCCCCCCCCCCCGGCGATGCAGTAGAATGCGCGGTGGGGGCGGGGCGAGCTGCTGCGGGGAGCGGTGCTGCGGTGGAACGGGGGAGGCGGGTTCCCCCCCCCCGCGGCGCGGCCAAGCCACTAGCCTGTGTAACTGGAGCAAGTTGCAGCCACCCTAGCTCAGGCGCTGCCTATACTGGGGCTGGTTATAGCATGGGGAAGCGGCACCAGTGCAAATCCTGATTTGTGGTGGGCAGCACAAACTGTAGTGAAATGTAGGACTGGACCTCAAGAAGTCGTGGAAGGCCAGCCCCTGTGCTATGCCAGGCCCAAGTAATGCCTGCTAGACTAGTGGCTCTCAACTTTTCCAGCCTACTGTGCCCCTTTCAGGAGTCTGATTTGTCTTAGTACCTCCAAGTTTCACCTCACTTAAAAACTACTTGTTTACAAAATCAGACATAAAAATACAAAAAAGTGTCATAACACACTAGTTCTGAAAAATTGCTTATGGTCTCATTTTTACCATATAATTGTAAAATAAATCAATTGGAATATAAATATTGTACTTACATTTCAGTATATAGTACATAGACCAGTAGAAACAAGTCGTTGTCTGAATGAAAATTTGTACTCACTTCGCTATTGCTTTTTATGTTGCCTGTTGTAAATATCTAGATGAGTTGATGTACCCCCTTGCTCCTGGGGGAATGCTGTACCAGTGCACGTGTGCAGAGTTCATGTCCCCCCATCTATCTTTGCTACCCCACAGAAAAATGACTTTCTGACAGGGAAGCAAAGGGAAGCTGCAAGAGCAGTCATGCACCACTCCCTAGCAGAGCAGGTATATCGAGCAGCTGGCAGAGAGGTAAATCACCGCAGAGCTGGGGACACCCCAGCCTGTGGCTTCTACCCTGAGCTGGGATCAGCTGCTAATCCCGGCTGGGCTGGAGGCAGGAGAGGACGGGACTTTCTCTTCCCCTGCAATGCGTGGCTGAGGCTGTCAGACCCCCTACCCCAGCTGCAGGAAGCTCAGCATCCTCCCCAGCTTCCTGCCCCCAGCGCTCCTCAGCTATGTGGGGGAGGGGTCACTGTACAGGGAGCTGCTCCCCCATCTGCCCAACCCCCGTGCATACCCATACCCCCCCACCAAGCCTCACCCCGTACACCCAGAATCCCCTAGCCCTCCATACCCAAACCCCACTCCATTGAACCTCAACCCCTGCATTTGGAGCCCCCTGCACCCAGACCCCCTGCCTCCAGACCCCCACCCCTGCACCCAGAGCACCCCCACTGAGCTCCATGCACTCAAACCCCCACTCTGATGATCCCCACACCCCTGCGCCCCCTTAGATTCCCCACACCAAGACCCCTCCACTGAGCCCCAACCACTTTCACCTGGAAGCCCTGGCAGTGTCCCATTGCCTCTACACCTGGAAACCTCTCCCCCCACCCCCAAATGAGCCTCTCTGCATCCTGATCCCCTGCCACCTAGACCCCCCGACTGAGCTGCCTGCACCCAGATTGTTCCACACAGAATCCTCTCACCTCACACCTGGATCCCCCACACCAAGCCTCTCCACACTTAGATCCTGCCTGGTTGAGCCTGCCTGTCCTGTACCTGGCTCAGAGTGGCAGGGTCCCAGGGGTTTCTGGGGCGGGCCCAGGCCTTGTGCTGTGTCAGGGTCGGGTGCAGCCTCACCACTTATTCTGTGTCTCTGGGATTGGGGGTGGGGAGGCTGCAGGGTTATCTCCCACCTTCGTGTACTGCCATGCTGGAGCCTCTACATTTACTTATTGACAAATAAAACTTGCAGAATTTTTCAGAATTTTAAAATATTGTGTGCAGAATTTTTATTTTTTTGGCACAGAATGCCCTCAGGAGTAACCCCCTGGAAAGCCTCTGCAAACCCCCAGAGGTACACATACTCCTGGTTGAGCACCTCTGCGCTAAACTACGCCAGATGGATTTGTCTAACTTGTTCTTAAAAACCTCCAATGACAGAATTCCACAACTTCCCTTGCAAGCTTATTCCAGAGCTTAACTACCCTTATATTTAGCAAGATTTTCCTAATAGCTAACCTAAATCGCCCTTGCTGCAGACTAAGCTTATTACTTTTTGCCTTACTGTCAGTGGAAATGGAGAGCAAATGAGTATGATCTTCCTTATAACAACCCGTAACATATTCGATGAGCATCAGGTCCCCTCCCCCATCTTCTTTTCTCAAATATAAACAGCACGGTGTTTTTAAACTTGTTTCATAGGTCAGGTTTTGTAAACCTTTTATCATTTTTGTTGCTGTCCTCTGGACTCTCCAATTTATCCACATTTTTCCTAAAGTGGGATGCCTAGAATTGGACACAGAATTGCGGCGGAGGCCTCACCAGAGTGTAGAACAGGACAATTACCTCCTGTGTTTTACATACCAAGTTCATCGGCGTTGTTGACTCATTCAATTTGTGATCCCCTAGGACTACTAGATCCTTTTCACCGGTACTACCACCTAGCCATTTCATAGTTATGCATTTGATTTTTCCTTCCTAAATGAAACACTTTGCACTTATTTTCATTGAATTTCATCTTGTTGAATTCAGAGCAATTCTCCAGTTTGTCAAGGTCATTTTGAATTCTAATCCTGTCCTGCAAAGTGCTTGCAACTGCTCTCAGCTTGGTGTCATCTGCAAATTTTATAAGCATACTCTCCATTCCATTATCCAAATCATGAATGAAAATATTGAATAGTACTAGATGAAGACTGATCCCTGTGAGACCCCACTAGATACATCGTCCCAGTTTGATGGCGTAGGTCAGGGGTTGGCAACCTTTCAGAAGTGGTGTGCTGAGTCTTCATTTATTCACTCTAATTTAAGGTTTTGCGTGCCAGTAATACATTTTAATGTTTTTAGAAGGTCTTTTTCGATAAGTCTATAATATATAACTAAACTATTGTTGTATGTAAAGTAAATAAGGTTTTAAAAATGTCTAAGAAGCTTCATTTAAAGTTAAATTAAAATGCAGAGCCCCCCGGACCGGTGGCCAGGACCCAGGCAGTGTGAGTGCCACTGAAAATCAGCTCGCTTTGGCACACGTGCCATAGGTTGCCTACCCCTGGTGTAGGTAATCCACCTCGCCGACAGGCAGTAGCCAGGTTGACTGTCGACCCCTAACACTGTCTACACTGGGGGTTGGTATAGCTACATATCTCAGGGATGTGGATTTTTCATACCCCTGAGAGATGTAGCTATACTGATGTAAATTCCTAGCACAGACCAGGCCTTAACCTGTTCAGAGGAAGTCCATTCAATACAATGGCTGAAACACCACTGACTGCTGATGCCTTGTCTATATCAGCGTTGTTACTACCTATAAAGCTGTTTTGGTGTTAACGACTACTGGAAGATTTTTTGGGGGAAAAAGCCAGTTTAGACTTTTGTGAGGCCCATAGTGACAAAGCAAAAGAAATTAAATGAACCTCAGGCTGAACCTGTTTTTTAAAATGGGATAAGCAAGGACAACTTTTTTTTTTTTTTTTAAGTATAAACTGGACCAAAATGTAGAGGTGGGTGTTAGGTACATGCTTTATAAGGATGATAAGAAAGAGGTATTAAACAGCGATATTGGTTAAATTGAAGACTGTACTAAAATGAGAAATATTTCACTGAGGAACAAGAAATAATACCAAAGGAAATAAAGAGCATGATCAGGAAATTGCACAAATGGGATTACATTTAGAAAAATACAAACTAATGCAGCAGGGAGGAACATATGAAACATAGATATTCAGTGGGAGGAAGACAATAGGAAAGCAGCAATGTTGAAAGAGACCTGGATAGCATTATAGAACATTGCAAACTAGTTTATAAGTTTACAATGGAACCGGGCAGAAAAGAGTTCAGTGCAATTATGGACTCCCTGCATAGACCAGGAAGGTGAATCATGAATCTGGTGAGTCTGCACCTGGAATTCTGCATACTTAGTTCTGGGCAGCTAAACAAATAGTTATAGATCATTTGGAATTCAGGAAAGAGCAAAAAAGGTTACCAATATGGAGGGACTGATTTATGAGGAAATATTAACCATAGTTTAAGATTCTCTGACCAGGTCATAGATTCTGAGGCCAGGAGGGACCTTTGTGATCATCTAGTATAACAGGCCATACAACTTCCCCAAAATAATTCCTAGGGTATATGTTTTAGAAAAAAATCCAAACTTGATTTAAAAATTGTCAGTGATGGAGAATCCACCACGATCGCTGGTAAATTGTTCCAATGGTTAATTACTCCCACTATTAAAAAATTATCCCTTGTCTCTAGTCTGAATTTTTATAGTGAATTTCTTGCAGCCATTGGATTGTGTTATACCTTTCTCTGTTAGATTGAAGAGCCTATTATCAAATATTTGTTTCCTGTGTAGGTACTGACAGACTGTAATCAAGTCACCCCTTAACCTTCTCTTTCTTAAAATAAATAGACTGAGCTCCTAGAGTCTAAGGCATGTTTTGAATCCTTTAATTATTCTCATGGCTCTTTTCTTAACCCTTTCCAATTAATCAACATCATTTTTGAACAGTGGACTCAGGAATTGGACACAGTGTTCCAGCAGCAGTTGCACCAGTGGCATATACAGAGACAAAATAACCTCTACTCCTACTGGAGATTCCCCTGTTTATGAATCTGTGACGGGTTGGATCACAGAAACCCCCTTGGGAGCTGCCACCCGATGTGCCAAGACTACTCCTGCTTCTGTTTTCCCTGCCAGCTCAGGACTCCAGCACCCCGTCTTGCTGAATTAGATACTCCAGTCCACTTCAACACAGACCCAGGGTCTGAATCACTTGTCCCAATGCTGCAAGTTTACCCAAAAACAGCTCACAGGAGTGTGCTTGTCTTTAGCACTCAGATGCCCAACTCCCAATGGGGTCTAAACCCAGATAAATCCGTTTTACCCTGCATAAAGCTTATGCAGGGCAAACTCATAAATTGTTCGCCCTCTATAACACTGATAGAGAGATATGCACAGTTGTTTGCTCCCCCAGGTATTAATACATACTCTGAGTAAATTACTAAATAAAAAGTGATTTTATTAAATACAGACAGTAGGATTTAAGTGGTTCAAAGTAGTAACAGACAGAACAAAGTAAGTCACAAGCAAAATAAAATAAAATGCGCAAATCTATGCCTAATCAAACTAAATACAGATAATCTCACCCTCAGAGATGCTTCAGTAAGTTTTTCTCAGACTGGACACCTTCCAGGCCTGGGCACAATTCTTTCCCCTGGTACAGCTTTTGTTCCAGCTTAGGTGTTATCTAGGGGATTCTCCATGATGGCTCCTCCCCCCTCTCTCTTCTCTTCCACCCCTTTATATATCTTTTGCATAAGGCAGGAACCCTTTGTCTCTCTGGGTTTCCACCCCCCCTCACTGGAAAAGCACCAGGTTAAAGATGGATTCCAGTTCAGGTGACATGATCACATGTCACTGCAAGACTTCATTACTCACTTGCCAGCACACACATATACAGGGAGACTCACAGGTAAACAGCCATCTGCAGACAATGGGAGTCATTAAGATTCCAAACCATCATTAATGGCCCACACTTTACATAATTACAATAGGCCCTCAGAGTTACATTTTATATTTCTAGTTTTAGATACAAGAGTGGTACATTTATACAAATCAGATGAACATACTCAGTAGATTATGCACTTTGTAATGATACCTTACAAGAGACCTTTTGCACGAAGCATATCCCAGTTGCATTATAGTCACTTATCAAATTTTTATAAAACTATCCCAGTTACATTATATTCACTTATTATCATGTTTTTATAAAACCATATAGACTGCACAACGTCACAGAATCCAAGGATCGAATTACCCCTTTTGACCACACCATCACATTGGGAGCTCATGTTCAACAGATTATCCACCCTGTCCCACAAATCTTTTTCAGAGTCTCTGCTTTCCAGGAGAAAGCCCCTCACTCCCATCCTCTAAGTATGACTTATGTTCTTTGTTTCCAGATGATCTAGATCAGTGGTCTCCAAACTTCTTTGATCGTGCACCCCTATCAGTAAAAAATTTTGAGCACGCACCCCCTGCCGCGCCGGCTCTACTATTTTTGCCAAAGCAAAAAAAAAAAAAAGTGCTTCTCCTGTCGCGCACCCCCAAGGATCCTCTTGCGCACCCCCTGGGGTGCATGCACCCCATTTTGGAGACCACTGATCTAGATTATCCAATAAATGTGCAAAATAGACATTTAATGTCTGACAATAACCCTGAGGCAATAAGTAAAGTATTTATCCCCATTTAATTCACGAGGAAACTATGGGTATGCCTACACTGCAAAAAAAACCCTGCATCAGCAAGTCTCAGACCCTGGGTCAACTGAAGCCCAGAATCTGAGCCTGGGTTCTAGTTCAAGCAGGAACAGCTACACTGCTATTTTAGCCCTGTAGTATGATCCCCACAAGCCCAGGTAGCTGGGAGAGGCAAAGCCTCCCCAAACAGCCCTGCATGGCCCTGCCTACGCTCCCCTTCGAGGCCCACTCCTGCTTGCTGCTTCTCCCTTGGCCCCAGCTCAGGCAGGCTGCTCCTCTTCCTGGAAGCAGGCTGGTGCTGGGGCTAGGGCAGCTGGCTTGCGGCCGGGACTCGGAGCGGTTAGGGCCCCCGGGCACTGGGGCCACAGCACCCAGCGCTCCAGGGCTGGGGGCACTGGGGCCACGGTGCCCAGCGCTCCAGGGTGCTCAGGCAGTGCGGCCTGGGCCTGGTGCAGTGGAGCCGGCAGCTGTGAGGAGGAAGGAGGGGTTCGGAGCTCCGGCAGGGGAATGGGGGCGGAAGGGGCAGGGGCAGAGGAGGTGGGGCTGGGGGCTAGACTCCCCTAACAGGCGGCTCATGTGCCACCCATGCCAGGTCAGTTGACCCAAGCTCTGAGACTTGCTGCCGCAGGTCTTTTTTTTTTTTTTTTTTGCAGTTAAGATGAACCCTATGGCACAGAGAGGTTAAATGACTTGTCCAGTAACACAGCAGGTAAATAGAACCTATGCTCCTGATTCTCAGTCCTGTTTTCTAAACACTAGACTAGACTATGTTTATCTCATACAACTGTGTATAGTTTGACTAAGCTAAGCCAAAGGTCAGAACATAAGTCCACCAACAACTGAAGGATGTAAAAACCAAGGACAGAGAAGAATGTAAGGTGATAGAGGTTGGCTCAAATAGGAATAAATGAATAATATTAAAGTGAAAACATAGCCTGAATAACAACAATACCAACAAAAAATAACTACTTGACAGTAAGATTGTAGTAAACTAGATCTTGCTAGAGGAATGGCAAAAAATCATTAGAGACCTTAAACTGTATGCGACAAAGCCCTAGCAAATACACTACATTGGCTCCGGGGGGGGAGCTAGATGACCTCAAAGGTCTTTTCATTGCTAATTTTCTGTGAATGTATTTCAAGGCAAAAGAAAATTTGTTTTTGTTCAAGAGGACATCCCTTTTCAACATCAAAGGAGTTGAAGATAAGTATCGATATACTGCACAATATAAGGCAAACTCTTGTTGGATCTGTAAAGTTAGGTACACTATCTAGATAATGCCAGAGATGTGTAGTATGCTTTACAAACATAGGAAAGAAAGGTCCTTAGTGCTAAATTTTCATAATTGAATGTCTATGTACCAAAAAGAAAAAAACAGCAACAAAAAACAACAACTGGTTGTTTAAGGGGATAGTGTAACAAACCAGTAGGAGACATGAAAACTTTAATATGAGGGATGTGATAGGATGACTCCCCAGTTCAAAATCCATTTATACAATGACTTGGCAATTTTGCTAGATTTACATTCTTATTTCTTCTGTTTATACAGGCTCTGGGTGGCCGGGCGGTGTGGCCGCAGCGCCCCCAGCCCCATGATCCAGGCGGCCAGCCCCAGAGTGCTGGCTGGCACAGCTGCAGCGTCCCCAGCCCTGGTGCTCCAGGCGGCGCGGCCTCAGCACCAGCCACCCTGAGCTCTGAGTGTGGGAGGCAGGCCAGCCAGCCAGGGCAGAGCGCTGGGAACTGCATGGGGGACCTGGCCTGGGGGTGGAGGGTTGGCAGGGCCACGCTAGGCTGTTTGAGGAGGCCTCCCCCTGCCTACCATACCCATCACCCATGCCCCCAGGACACCAGTCACACTCTAAAATACCTAGTTATTTTTACCTTAATTAAGTTGACACATTACCCAATTTAAAGTAAGTTAACTTCTTTTTTATTGTTGTACTGTTGTGAAGCCTGTTGTGCCAGTTCACATATGGTGTAGTATTTTGTTTGTAACAACTTAGTGTATCAGAAATGGTCTGTTATTACTATACTAAATTGTCATGTGGACCCACATGGTGGTTTTTGAGCTGCTTGGTTTCTGTGGAAGATAAATAACCCCTGACCATAAGCCGGAATCTTGCTAAGAAAAAAAGTTGCCTTATTCCTTATAAGGCATGGGCAGGCTCATGAAAGGGTGTGGTTACAATTCAGTGTGCTGTGAGTTCACTCCAGCACTGTCAGCTCTGCAGACAGTCTCTGCAGGCTTGGAGCTCTATCGAGAAAATTACAGTCAGCTCAAAACACATCTTAATTCTTATAGGAGTAACTAAGTCAACAGAAGCAGCTTCAGGTAACAATCAAGAACGAGGTCATGGGAAAGTCAGGTTGGTGAATATTTATACAGAGCTTGTTGTGAATACTTAATCTGTAGATTATGTAAACAAAGCTTGTATGCCAAAATCCTTCCTGATGGTTTAAGAATTGCAAAAATGGTAGTGGCTTTGTCTTGTACGAGCTGATTGCTTTTATGCATACAGTAATCCAGGAGGAGTTTCTTTGTTTTGTGACAAAGGAATGTTTTCATTAGATTTAAAAATATTGTATAGAATTTATAAGATAAAACCAGTTACCTTATTATATATGGTGACTTTAATATTTAAGGTAGCTTTGCTTTGATGTATGCAGTTAGACTAGCTATACAGTACTTGAAGCACGATATTTATAATTATAAGCACCTTAGTTGTGAAACTGCAGTTGGTGAGTGGCTCCGTAAGCATAACTGAGGCAAATTATGTAGTTATAAATATGCTTATTGCATTAAGTTAAGTACTTCTTGCCTAGATGAGCATATTCAGGAAACTGTTAGGATCAGCCTTTAGCTACAATTCAGCAGAATATAGTCTCTGGCTTTGCAGGGTTCATAGGTTTCACAGCTGTGTATCCTCCTCCCTGTTGTGAGGATGAAATCTACCCTCTCTGCCAGCCATGGATTGTTGCATTAGACATTCCACAGCTGTCATCCTTTGCATGGCCAAAGTCTGTCAGTATGATTCTGATATCTCTTATGCTGGTGTAGATCAGAACAAATTCCACTGAAGTCACTGGAAATACACTAGTTTTACACCAGCGTGCGTGAGATCAGAACTGGGCCTAAGCCCATCATGGTGTCTTTATATTAGTTATCAGATTTATGGAGCCAATGGAGATTTGCTTATTATGATCAGTCGAGTCTATTAATGAGGGGATATGAGTTTTACCTGGTTGATTTTATATCTGTTAGTCTGAAGAATTTGAAAGGGCTCATGCCCCAAAGATACTAAACTCTCTCACTGAAACTGCATTTCAGAGAAGGGGAAGAAGGGCATTATGCAATTTAAAGATTAATGCTCTGCCTACACACACAGCTGACAGGACCTGGGAACCAAACATAGCAGAAGAGGAGTTCTGACTCCAGTAAAATAGTTTTTAGATGATGGAACAGAAGTTCCTTCTAATACAAATAGGCAACTTGAAAAAAAATAGTCTGAGCATAGGCCAGGCCAGGCCTGGCCTCAATCATTCTGTCCCCTGGCGGACACACAGGAGAAGTTACTCCAACACTAGAACACTTGTAACTCTCTTGCTCACATGGGGATATTGACTGTTCTGAGAAAAATGGGGGAGCTCATTTACATATTCCCACTGCTCGCTGCTGTGAAGCTGAATCATTTCTTTTGGCAGCAAACAATGGATGGTCATCAATAAATGACATATATAGGGCCTAGAAACTAGAACAGAGGACTTTCAGTTCTTAAAAGTGCAAGCCTCTCCCAGTTAAGCTCAAGAAACATCTTCATTAGCTGTCAGTTATGGTAGGGCTTTTTGACCTTACTGTTTATTGGGAGTTGAAATGGGCCTTTACTCCTTGGAAGACCATACACCAGGTGCCATATTGTCAAAACCACTCAGCACTCATAATTAGGATTAGATTTTCAAACAGTTTATCATGTTGAGTGCTGAGGTCTTTAGAAAATCTGGTCATAAAAGGTGAGACAATTGCAAAAACCTGAGCAGGACTTAATCCATCCAGTAGAGGGAGGTAGGAGACATACATTCTATGTCAGATGTTACATGGCTAGAATGTGAGTGCTCTTTGTAGTCACATGGCTCTGAAGGCTACAGATGTTTTCAAATGGATTAGGTCCTTAGTAAATATGTTTGTGATTTAAATTCCTATCCTGTTTCAACACTTCTAAATTTAACTATATAATTTTTAGGTTGGAATAACACTTTTATGCTAGTAGAATAAAAAGGACAATTGTCAGATAAATTAACAACCCAGTGTTACACCAATAAAGATTATGTTTAATTGGGCAAAAGTGGTGGAAATCAAAATAGGTGCAATCCAATTAGAATTTGATTAAAATCTGTTTATCTTGGCATGGACATGGTCCATGTTTGATTACTGGTAATTCTGTGGATGATGAGATTAATCTCTGTAATAAATAACAGATTATGTTTCCCTGACACTTACTGAGCGTCAGTCAGTTGTGGTTTTTATTCTGAAATTACTTCCAGTCTCTTACTGGTTTTTGTTAGTTTGCCAATCTTGATAGTTCTTGTGGGTATAATTTTTAGATAATCATTATACAAATACATCCCAGAAGTGGATTTTCTTTGGTTACTTAATAGGTGGTACTCCTCCTTTTGAATCAACACTGGGTGACCCAGCATGCTATCAGTGGGCAGTATATGTTGCTGGGGGTACATTCAGATATGATCTATAACTGTGGTCCTCATAGATGCTGCTACAGCCCCTGGCTTGAAGTGGTTTCTATCACATACAGGGTTTACAGTTTGGTTCAATGGCTCTCAGTACCCCCACTATACAAATTGTTCCAGCACCATGGGAGATCCTGACCATCTATTATTAAAAATCTTCCAGGCATACAATAAGAGTAGAGGTGTTGACCCCTCTGTTCTGCCCTGTTCCCTCTTAGACAATTACATTCACTGACTAATTTCTCTGTGCAATTTCAATTTGATGTAGTATTCTTCATTTCCTGTCCTGAACCATTCTGTGGTCTTTTCTCTTTAAATAACCGTGTGTTCCATACAGAGGTGGCTGCATTTCAGTGATAGGTGAACTGATTCCTAGTATATATCTGATGTTGTGAAGCTTAATTAATATTTGTAAAGCTCTTTAGGTAAATATCCAACTCCTGTACAAATGTAATGTGCTCCACAAATAGCATTCCTCATCCCAAATACCAAATCATTCAATTAATGCTACCTCCTCACCAGCTACAAACTAAATCAGTTTATGAGTTCCCTATAACAAGTCAATGCTAAACAGCCCTTACCTCCTCAACAAATTGATTTGTGCTGGCCCTACACATGCAACCTTCTGGTGGGAGGATAGGGCAGGAGGCTTCCATCCATTCCCCTACTCAGCCCTTGATGGGGCAGTATTGGCAGGAGGCCCCCCATACAAGCAGAGCTTTCTGCTCCAGGAGCTACATAGAACCAGACAATTTTTTTTTTCAATGAAGAGTAAATTTACCAAAAAATGCATTTTTGGAGGCACCCAAACTGTTTATGAATTCAGGTCAAATGTGGCAAATAGTTTGACCTGGAAAAAAAAAGCCAGAAAACAAAAATTGTGAAAACACTGAAATGTTTTGAATCGACATTTCAGGAAGGAAATGAAGATTTGACTTGATAGTTTGTTTTGGAAATGCCAATTCAAATTGACATTCCGAATGTTCCATTTCAACTCAAATGACTTTTTTTGTTTTGAGAAAAAACAAAAGAGTTGTTTTTGTTTGAAATGAACATTTTTTTTCCAGTTTGCCCATGGAACCAGAAAAAAAAAAAATCAATGATTCACTCAGTTCAGAGTCACAGGCTGGCCAAAGAACCTTACTCCTAACAGCAGCAGCTGTGCCCCTCCTACCGAGCACCTTATCTCAGTGGTTCTCAAAGTTTTGTACTGGTGACCCCTTTCACATAGCAAGCCTCTGAGTGCGGCCCCCTTATAAATTAAAAACACTTTTTAAATATATTTAACACCATTATAAATGCTAGAGGCAAAGCTGGGTTTGAGGTGGAGGCTGACAGCTCGGGACCCCTCTGTGTAATAACCTCGCAAGCCCCAGTTTGAGCACCCCTGTCTTATCTGCAATGCCAGCCAGGTTCCCCCCTTACAGAGGTAGTTGCGCTCGCCCTGCTCCCAAACAGTGGTGTGGGTGGTAGAGCCATCTGTCTGAGCCTGCCGACAGATATCACTGCATGGGGTTATGTTTAGAAGATTTTGTTTGAAACTTTAAGGGCATTTAAAAAAATGTAAGCTGAGGTTCTGCAGAAATTGATGCAAAGATTGCTATTTGCTGTGGGTGAGTGGATTTTTCAAGCCCTACTAGCAATATTTCTAAATTCCTAGCCTAGCAGTCAGACCGCCTTCTCGTTTGGTAATTTTAGAACATTAAACATGATAGCAATATTCCCCTGTCAGGACTAGAACATCCCCTCCCATGAAAATGATACACTGGCCGGGAAACTCCCCAAATTTTGCCTACATTTCCAGGAAATCATTCCTTTTGGGACAATAGTTGGGGCAGTCTTTCAACTCCATGAATCCTGGGGATCTGAAAGGAAAAGTCTGTCTCAGTGCTTCTTGACAAGAAATGACCACACCAGGGGCAGGCAATTCTATGCTGCTCTGCAAGATTCCTAATGGCTGAATTCCCTGCAGCTGTGCACTTGCAGCTGTGCAGGGACTCTGCAGCATTAACTCCCAATAACTCCCACTTGCATGTCTGTAGGGCCATCTGGTAATGATGTTTCAGAGAGCAGCTGGTTGCCAGCCCCACCCTTAGGCTCTGAGGAGCCTGATCCTTGCTGAGAACCCATAAATAAGCTTCTAACGGTCCCCACTGAATAGGGTGACCAGATGTCCTGATTTTATAGGTGCTTATTACCCCCCCCCCCACCCCCTCCCTCTGTCCCAAGTTTTCATACTTGCTATCTGGTCACCCTACCACTGAAGGGGTGGAAGAATGTTGCAAAAATAGCACTTCCCTTCTCTCCCTCCCCCTACCCACTTTCCAGGCTCTGAGAAAGGCTTTTTTAATTTGAGTGTTCTCTACTCCTGAGCAGAGGGGATGGCCCGGAGATCTGTCATTAACTGTTCTTTGAAGGAATCTTGTTAATGTGGTATAAAATAACATCACGTTGGGGGAGATTCAATAAGGAGTGACTCAGTAGATATTGTATATCAGTGGTTTTCAAACTTTTTTCTGGCAACCCAGTTGAAGAAAATTGTTGATGCCCGTGACCCAACGGAGGGGTTTGGAGTGTGGGAGGGGGCTGAGGCAGGGGGTCAGGGCTCTGGGGTGGGGGTGCA